AAATCTTCGTAAATGCTTCACGCAGTTGAACCCAAGAGAGGGCGCTTTCGGCCTTGTGGGGAATGCCGAAAACAACACCAGGAAAGCCGTTTTCGGCCTTTTGAGCTTGGACAGCCTTCTACAGAGGTCGGGATCGCGAAGGAAACCTGGCTCGGATTGAACCCTCCAAACCTGACAAACGTGAAGAACGTAAAGATGAAGCCAGTCCGCACTTCTCAGCAGCCAAGACTTGATGCTTAAGGCTGCCAGAATAAGCTTTGCAGCTGCTCAAAAGTTGTTTTTGGTAGCCTCGACATCTTTTGGAGCAGCCCCTGATTGGGAACAAAGGCTCAGAAGCAAAAGTCTAGCAAATCAAAATCCAGCCCTTTCGGTTGCCATTATTTGACGGCTCAGCAAGGAGTGTGAATGCCAAAATCAGGTTTAGAGCTGCTCGAAAGTTGTCTTCGGCATTTTCGACCCTTTTCCAATAAATTAGCATTGGCAGCAACTCGTCAATGGAAGGTGAAGAGTACAAGCCCGATGCAAACCTCGGCGCGAGCACATCTGATCTGTTTCTGCGGAAGCTGACTGGAAAAAGAGTTGAAGCGGGCGGCAGCGCTGTTGTGGAAGTAGTTGGGGTGTAGGGCTCAGGGCTTTTGGCTTGAGGATTGGGGTCCAGGATTTGGGGTTAGGTTTGTCAGTGGCTACTGGTGTTTTCATTTGGCTCGGTTTTCTCGTTTCAACTTATACACATGAGTCGCCACTCCGAAGCTTTACATTCCCTGTTCCGATTGTTCCAGCTTTTCTTTCCTTACGCTGCTCGAAACGCTTTTTCAGCCAGGCTTCCAGCTGGCCCGGTGCATGAGTGCATTTAGGGGGGGCCCTTTGTTTCTTGTGTGGCTGACAGGACGCAAGAAGAAAGCCAGCCATGACTCGACCCAAGGTACATTCACAAAGAGTCCCGACAGCCCGGGGTTCCCATGCTGCCGGCGTAGGAACTTCGCCGTTCTGAATCAAGGTTCCGTTTAGGGAACCTCACGAGGGCGCTGCCAATGAATTCGAACCCCTCCTTCAAAAAGCCTTCTACAGCACAAGCCCTCTTGAGAGTTGTTTGTTCCAGCAGGATCCGCAATGCCACCAAAGACCCCACCTGGCCCGCGGCCCCGCCCCCCAGACACCATGAACAGCGCCGAAACGAAACTCCGGAGCAATACTCCGAACGCACCCAACACACCACCGAACACCCGAGACCCAAACAAGCAACTCGAAATGCTCCAAAGCACGCTTTGGGGACCCCACCTCATATTGTGCGAGGCCCCTATAATTTTATCTGCATTCGGTTTAGCCGCCTAAAGCACGCACTAATGGTTTAGAATAGCTTCCAACGGGCCAAACAGACCTAAAGACCTTGAGAAGTATGGTATCTGAGGTCAATAGACAAAAGACCTAGTGTTTGGGTGCTCATCGCGGAACTAAGCTGTCCTTCTTCTTGTCAGCAGCAGCTTTCTTGCTGTCATCTTCATCTTCCTTCGTTGTCGGCAGTCTCTCTGGATATACAGTCACCAGCTTCTTTAACCATGTAAATCTTCGTAAATGCTTCACGCAGTCAGACGAGAGCACAACTGTCACTGGCGTGGCCTAGGCATTTGCGCAGAGAGCCAACCTTGCAATAACCTCGCACAAGCTGTCCTTCTTCTTGTCATCATCTTTTCTCTTGTCATCGTCCTGTATGGTGAGGACAGTCTCTTCTTGACACTGTCGACAGGCTTCGCATGAGAAGAATTAGGCAGGACTCAGAATGAAGTTGCCTGGAAGGACCTTCGCGTTCGCTGGGGCGACGACTTTCTTGGCAGCTCTCTGCGTACTGGTTAGTTTAATGTTGTTCGTGGAAGTGCGGAGGCGAGGGTGTTCCGCAGGTTGGGAGTTTCGTGCTTTTTGCCGACGGCTCGGGGTTTTGGGGAAGGTCTTGCAGGCATTTCGTCGTCCGGGTGGAGCGGCTACAACGTAGGGTTGCAGATAGCGTGCCAGGGGGAAACTGTGAAAACCACGCACATGGCATAGACCCCTGAGCGACAGGATCCTTCCCTTCAAAGACCCTTAAAAGGAGCCGCGGGATCTCCGATGAGGTGAAGTCGGGGTGTGGCCATTGAACCCTGGGACGCCATCAAGCGAACCAGCCTGCGATATGCCCGAGGGCCTAGGTATCTCTTGAAGGTGACGGATGCTTTGAGGGCTCGGGTTTGGGGGGTCGACTTTTCGGTAAAAGTTCCGAGTACGGACCTGGAGTCCCAAGCTCAAGCAACATTATCCACGGGGGCCCTGATCTGTTACAATTCCGTAGCATCTTGAAGCCCCAAAATCCTCTGAGCACCTACGCCCTTAACTTAACCATAAGCCTTAGCCGCCAAACCCCAATACTTTTGCGCTGCTTCGAGGGCCGGGGCCCGGGGTCTTCGTAAATAGTACGCAACTACTTATAACAAAGCCTCAACCCTGGACCTTGAGCACTGAACAACAACCTTTGAACCCTATAACGCAGCAAACGCCGCTCGCGAGGCCCTTGCTTCTCGGAAACCTGCACAAAGGTTTTCACTACGGTGATGTCCTGGTCCATGAGAATCTTTGAAAGCGCTGGCATTTCGGATGCCATGGCGTCAAAGGCTTAAGATCCACGGAAATTCTGGCAGGAGTCGCGCGCTGCGTTCGCACTTCGAGCCTTAGGTGACGAATCCAGAAAGGTCTCTGTTCTCGGCTGCACACGGTTTAGGGTTTCGGGTTTAGGGTTTAGGGAGTACCAGCTCTGCTTGCAGAGCCTGCTTTTGCAGAAGCGAGTACAGCTGCTGCAAGGTGCGCGAACGCCCGGGTGACGTCCTTAGACCCGTGTGTGCCATTATCGATTACACTGTAATGTGCCATAACATGCTGTAGTACACCAGACTAATATACCATAATGCACTCTCATAGACCATCATTTACAACGATATACCGATATACCACAAGGACTTACAAGTGGAATACTCTAACATACCATAATTTCCATAGTATATACCCTACCATTCCAAAACACCCTATCGCCGGGCCACTCCCCTCGGATGGCGTCGTAATAGTAACGGTTTATGGTTTAGGGAAGTGTAGGGTTGAATAGTAGTGGCAGTCGTCGTCGTAGCAGTAGCAGTAGCAGTAGCAGTAGCAGTAGCAGTAGCAGTAGCAGTAGCAGTAGCAGTACCAGTACCAGTACCAGTACCAGTACCAGTACCAGTAGTAGCAGTACCAGTACCAGTACCAGTAGTAGTAGTAGTAGTAGTAGTAGTAGTAGTAGCAGTAGCAGCAGTAGCAGTAGTACTAGTAGTAGTTGTTGTTGTCGTCGTTGTCGTGGTGGTGGCGGTGTAGCAGCACACAGGGAGGATATTGGGAGTTTTCGTTTTAGGGCATAGCGCCTAGGGTATGGGGTTCAAGTTTTAGGGTATATGGCGTGCCCGAACTGCCGCTTGCATGAAATACTCCCTCTGTCAATATTTTGTTGCTGTTTTCGGGCCTAGGGCTTCGGTGCTTTAGGGCTGGCAGTTGTTGTCGCTCGCGAAGAATTTCAGAGAGAAGCTCTCCTCACCAGCTGTCACGGATCAGAACGGCCAGACGTGCGAACTGCAAGATGGACACCACGTCTGTCGAGTGCCCAAACTTCTGACATCTGCACAACATGAGCTGCTGGAGAGCGGCCCAAACAGAAAGGCCAAGAGGTCCTTTCTATAAAAAGGAAGCTAGCTGCTAGCCGGGACAGAAACACGACTGTGCAGTGGACATGCTGTACTGCAGCATACCGCAGCAGTCCAGTACAACTTTCATCCCGGCAGAGGGAACCACCGAAGACCTGGCCATCTGCTCTGGACTCACTCCTCTTCGTCCGTCAGATCTGCCTGGATCCAAGGTAGCCTGGGCGTGTCGAAAGCACTCCACGTCGCTCCATCTGCATGTCTGACACTTAAGGCTTAAGGCATCGGCACCCGAGCCAGAGTTCAGCGACCCGAGTATGAAGGCAAACCCTGGCAGAGATCTGCTTGAAACAAGAGCCCCCTCAGGACTCAGCTGCAAGTTGGTCTGAACATGAGCTTCCTTGAACGTGCGCACAGCCATGCATCTCCGTAAGCAAGGCGGGCGCTCATCTAAAGGCGTTCGTGATGTGAGCCCAAGAAGCCGTGGAAATAAGATCTCATACGACGGCAAGACACCAAGCGAGATGGAACAGAAGCTGACATGCGAAAGCAGGACATTGCTTGTTGGCACGAAACTCTGCCTAACCCTCACATAGGCCGCTACTCCAGAAATCGCAACAACCAAAATCCAACTTGACAAGCTGATTGCTGAGAACACTGCTGAGAACCACCGGGGAAGAACAGCGCAACATGGCAAATTGTTGGGGTTTCTGTTTCGGCTCTGTTACTGTTGGGTGCAAGGTGTGGGGTGCTGGAGAAGCTTGGCAGAAAAGCAATAAGATCTACGAGAGCCAATACGGCGTCACGTCGGCTTGCATGGCATAGGACTGGCAGCAACTTGATGAGAGCCTGTCTGATTGCACGGCTTTTCAACCCCGGGCTAATCTTGCTACGCCACATTGGCATGCTTCTGTTGTGCTTGCCTTAGCATTCTTCCTGAAGTTCGTTTATGTCAAGAGTTTATGTAGCATTCGGCATGTATTTGCTATCAATCTCAAGTAGAGATGCTCAAGAACATCGCCAAGCACATGCGTCAGCTCTCGCAGGGACCTGGTCAACTCAATCCTGGCGGGCAGACCTAGAAAGTGTAGATACCCGCAGCGTTGGCGCACAGGAAGGTCAACATACGCAACCAGGAGCGCACCTTTGAAAGACTCTTCAAGTGTGCGTGGTCATTTCTCTCCTGCCCGCTAACAATACCTGCCAGTCAGGTTTAGGAAAACACCAAAAACTCAGGATTCAGCAGGGTTGCCGCTGCAACCCCATGATGTTCAGCAGATCCTCACATGAAAGGCTGCGCAAGTCTAGCTTTCAAGTTTTCTCCCGCATCGTTGGAGCCACAGTGTACCCCCTCACCCCTTCCCGGGCCACCTCTTCCTGGCTTTGCCGCATGTCGACCTGTTGCTCACCGATTTCAATGCTGAATTCCCACTGAAGCAGTGGCCTCGTGAGAGTCCGTCGTTGCCCGCCCAAAAGCCACATTGCTTCAGAAGAGCAACTCTGCTACGCTCTGCTAGCCTCCCCGGCCGGCTGAAGCTGGGCATCCAAAGGCGCCCAGGTGCTGCGCCTTGGTATGCAGGCGATGCCAATGACGGACCAGGGGTAGTGCAGACAACCCACTCGCACGGGACGAGTCTCAAAGCCGGATCATGGTATTGCTATCCACAGGAACAGTGCGGCATCGACGAACTCTCGAGGCAGCCTTCACTTCGCGAAGATGCTGCATCTGCTGGCAGTAAACTTCGCAGCTTCGAAGCCAGGAAGGACGGATCTCCGAGATCTTTTTTCCCGTGCAACCCTGAGCTCCCAGCATTAAAGAAGGACAACAGGTACATGAAAGCCTCGCCTGTCAGAAGCAGAAACTGAGAGCGAACTAATTACTGAATGGGTTGGGCTGCGCGACATTGGAGCGCCCTCTGAGGCCTGCCGACAGGCAAGCACTCCACGATCAATATGTCGAAGGGCATGGCAAGAATCTCATCCCACGCCTTTGTCGCAGTTGCAAGAGCCATCCCAGCTAAACCGTGCTTAATCTGATCATTTAAGTTCGACATAACATGACACTCTCATCCATCGGCCCGGGTTGTGCGCATGTTAACTTA